GGCAGCCCCGAGGGCGCCGGGATGCCCTGCGAGCAGGCAGGCTTCTTCCTGCCTCTCCTCGGGGAGCAGCAGCCTCCACAAGACAGGTCTCTTCCCTGGAGTGAGGGTGAGGTAGCTCAGAGCTGTCAGGCTTCATTTGAGGGTGACCTGTGTTCTGTGCTGTAAAAACAACTGAACCAGTCTGGGTTTTCACATGCAAACTGCAGAACTGATGCTCCAAAACAAATCGCTGTCTGGAGAAAACTCATTTCAAGCCTACCTGAAAGTGAAGGGCTAGGACCTAGTTCTTGTATGTGAAGATGGATTTTCAGTTGGTTTATGGGTGTGCATTGCCTAGCAGGGGCTGAGCGTGGCATGAAGCCATTGTTGGAAAGAGGAATTTCCCCTCGAGGGCTGCCAGGAGGCCCAGGTTGTCCCCCCAGTAGGAGCTATCTGGGTCCAGGGGGCACCAAGACCTTTTGTTCTCTGAGTGAATTCCAGGGCCCTTATCATACATTTAAGAAACACAACGGAATTAAAATAATTTCTGATCTATCTGGGGCTTCCCTCTCTATCACAAACCCATTCTGAGCAGAGTTCAGGCCTGCAGTGCAGCTCCCCTGCCCCCGGAGTGAGGGAGGCTCCTGGAGGTGAGAGGTTTTGTAGCTGCAGTTTGTGCTTCTAACTGATTATTTTTTCTGTTTCTTGCCCAGAGGAGATTGCCAAGCACAAGGGCCCCCCTGTCTTTACACAGGAGGAGAGGTACAAAATGGTGCAAGCCATCAAGTGGGTGGATGAGATTGCTCCAGGAGCTCCCTATGTCACCACGCTGGAAACCTTGGACAAATACAACTGTGACTTCTGTGTGCACGGTGGTGAGTGGCATTCTGAGGGAACAGCCATCTTCACACAGGTCCTCTGGGGTTTGTGTGCTCTTGGTTTCCCTGCAGCAAAGCCAGGAGTGCTCTGGCCATCAGCAGACACCTCGTGTACTGAGGTGCCACCCGCACTGGCCACCTGGCTGCTGCTGCTCTGGTGTGCTGGGAGTGGCCACATCCCTTGGGCTTAAGCATCCTTTTCACTTGGGTGAAATGTCTCATCTCACAATTTTCCTGAAGTTGCCCTTAGCTCTAGCAGAAATTGGTGGGTGAGTAAATAGTAATTTACAAAACTTAAATGTGAAAAATGGTGTTAAAAGGTAAGTGTGCAGAAATACAATCATGTTTATATCTACTTATCCTGGGATGAGATCAGATCTGAAAAGCTCTCTCTTCATCCAGCTGATAAGCTGTTCAAGGGCTTAGCTGGCCGTGTGGTCAGAGACCTAGTTCTTATTCTGAGCACTTTTCAGTGTCCAGTCACTGAGGAGAATCAGTGCTCTGGTGCACTCTGTCCCTTCCTGGGACTGCTCCTTGTGTTCCTTCAGCCTCAGTCCCTCTTCCCTGCCCCCCTGCAGGTATTTTGTTGGTGTAATCAGCAGTAGTCTTTGCACTCATGTCTTGTGTCCTCCTGATCTGATCCTAGCCAAGTATTGCCTTCTATGTAAATTAATCATTAATCTTCTAGAAGGTAGATAGGCTTTTTCACATGGACAGGGTGATTATAAAATTCCTTGTTAACTTAATTGCCTGCCCTGAGCACGTGTTTGGGGTGTGTGACCCTTTGCTAGGCTCGGTGAGGGATTATGGCAGCAGGACATGCTCGTGGCCTTTGCTCCAGTTTCCCCGTGTTCATCCCCTGGGCCAAATCCTCCAGTGCTTGCACCTGAACGGTGCCCCTGCATGCTGCAGCCTTGCTAGGCTGTGTTTATGCAGAAGTTTTGAAATAGTTGAGCTTAACTGGGAGGGTGTCAGCAGCAAACCTGCTTTCTGCCTCCCTCTTTGCATCCCTGTGCCCCAAAGGGTGGAGAAACCGCCTCCTGGGCTTTGTGGGTGGGAGCCAGGCCCTGCACCCCACCCTGGGGAGATTCAGCCCAGGTTTTCCCTTGTGAAAATTTTACACTGTCACTAAAACTAGGTGAGAGGTGTTTTTGTAGAGTGAGTTGGGAATCCCACTACAGGTGAACAGGAGTGAAGGCTGTAGGAGAGTGGCTCGATGTCTGTGGGAGGACTGTTAAACTGACTGGAAAAGTTGTAACATCAATCAACAGCTAAAGTTGGTCCTAGGGAGGCTGAGGTTCTTTAACACTGATGGCAGCTGTTTATTGTCATTCCAACAATAATTCAGTTGTGCCTCCTGCTGGATTCACTGCAAGGACAACCAGCTCTCATTTTCTGGAGTGGACCAGGTGGCTGATGGTGTTTAGCATCCAGGGATGTGCTTGTCTCCACAGACAGGGTGGTCTTGCAAGCCACTGGCATTTCCATGGGGTGCAGGATATATCCCTGTGGTGTGCAGGGATTCAAATTGCAGGAGTTCTGGTCTGGCCTGTGTGCTGGACCTGCTCAGCTGCTACTTTGTTCTCCAACAGCTTTTGTGTGGGAGGTTTGGGGCACTTCTGAGGCTGTTCTCCCCCTGCAGATGACATCACCCTCACGGTAGATGGCAAAGATACCTACGAGGAGGTGAAGAAAGCTGGGAGATACAGGTAATCCAGGGCTGCCTGCCTTCTTGTCCTGTTTTGGATGGGGTTCTAAGCAACCTGGTCTAGTGGGAGGTGTCCCTGCCAATGCAGGGAGTTGGATCTACATGATCCTAAAGATCCCTTCCCATCCAAACTATTCTGTGATTCTGCGAAACAACAGCTACTGTCAGGTCACACTGACTGCTGGGATGTGTGTCAGAGCTTCAGCTGCTCCCACTGTTTTGGCTTTGGGAGGTGTTGCAGAACCTGACTGGCAGGGCCTGGCAGATGCTGGTTCTGGTTCTGAATCCTCTGTTAGCTCTGCTGGGAAGTCTGTGCATGGTGAGTTTTCCTCACCCAAGTGGTTCCTCTGGCATGAAGAAGATGAATGCTGTACTTGATATCAAGGGCAGGTAGAAGGAAAGCTTTCTCAGGACAGCCTCAGTTTGGATTTATCAGGTGTCACAGATGCTCCTACTGTGATGGCAGAAAGAGCAAGAGGCACCTGCTCCTGTGGCTTCTGCTTTATCCTTTGCTTGTCTCCCTGCAGGGAATGCAAACGCACCCAAGGTGTGTCCACTACTGACCTCGTTGGCCGCATGCTGCTCATGACTAAGGCTCACCACAGCAACATAGTGAGTCAGGGGGCTTTGGGGGGGAGTTTGGAGTCCAGGGTGTGTGCCAGCTCTTTCCTTTTGCTGTCCCAAGTGTTAGTAGAGCTCCTGGGTCTGGCTCCTAGGTGCACAGAGAACCAGCAAGCTGATTATGGGCAGTGGCAGCAAAAGAACCTGCTTATGTTTGCTTAAGCCTGTCTGAGATCAGTGTGATCTCAGTCCATGCTTTGGAAATGTGGAGAGTGAGTAAAAGCTTTGATCACTTGTCACTGGTGTGGGCTTCAGGAATGTTATGGGAGCTACAGGCCCATGGCTTCTGAGGGTGAGAACATCTGTGTTGACGTGTCAGTCCACTGCTGCCAAGGATTCAAAAGTCCTTTTCCTTCCCACTGAGCTGTGTGTTTCTGCCTTCCACTATCTCTAGCTTTACCAGACCTTTCTTGAGTCTCCTTAGCTCACTACCTGGTAGATTACTAACCTAACAAAGGAAGGTAAAGAAAGTGGTTTCATGTTGGTTAATGAGTTGAATTCAGTAGGCAAACAAGCAATCCAGTGAGTGGCATTGCCTGGGTAACAGCAGGGACAAGACAAAACTGAGGGGTAAAGGGAGATCCTTTTGTGTGCTGAGCTGGTGGATTGGCTTTGCTGTAACATGGAAGGATCTGGCACAGGGCTGCTGCCTGCAGAGATCAGAACCCTTTAGAGGAGCGTCTGGAAGGAGGAGGGACACTGTCCTGCTAGGGCTGGTGTAGCTGAGGGAGCACGTAGGTGTTCTCAGGTGCAGGTTGGGCAAGAGCTGCCATCACTCTGTGGTGCCAGGCTGGGATCAGATAAGGACACATTTCCTCTGACTCATGCTGGTTTAGGTATTAACTGGTTTGCCAGCATTCAGTGCCAGGGATCAGTGGTGTGCTATCTGAGCCTGGACTTCCCAGCACCTCTGCCACACACACATGTTCTTGGTTGGATGACCTATGAGTGCTTAAACATTTTGACTCTTTATCTCCCTTCAGGATGAGGACCTAGACTATCGGAAGCACACTGACAACTTTGGGAAGGTAATGTGAGTTCTGGTCGTGGACGTCTGGTTGTTGTCCTGTCTGAGAAGGATTCCAAATGTGCTTTCTGGCCTGTGTTGCAGGCTTGTTTTTCCCCTGACATTTAGTAGTACCCTCAGTCAATGTCTGCTGCTCCTGCTGGCAGTGAAGAGGCAGGGCTGGGGCAGAGGGCCAGCGAGCCAAGCAGTGCTGCTGCAGCCATCCAGCCTTTGCTGGTTTCCTGGCTTGCGTGTGAATTCTTAATCCTGCTTCCGTCGGGACTCAAGTGCCTGCAGTTCCAGCCTAGGGACAGCCCCTAGAACCCCTGCTTCTTTTAGTGCTTGTGGTCTTACAGGTGTTGCATTAGGTCTGGGAAGTGTTTCTGTAGCAGGCATGTAGGCAGCAAGCTGTGCTGCAGGACTCACAGGAGCAGTGCACAGCGCTAGGGCTCTCTGCTGCCGTGTCCAGCTCAGCTCTCGGGCTGCCCCATCGAGCTGTCCGCCCCTTTTTCCCTGGCTGTTGGCTGGTCCCTGGGTAAGCACGATATGGACCTACAGCCCGAGTCTTTTTTACTCACGGGGTTTGCTGCCTAGCGTGAATCATTCTTGTTGTTCCCCACCCCGTTGGGTTTTTTGAGCAGGCTTTGCGGGGCCTGTTGCTCCAGCACGGCTGTTTCCCGGTGCTGCATCAGGGGGTGTCTGGGCGCCCCGCGTGCCCCGCGCCCGCTGCGGGAGGTTCAAAATAACCTTTATTGATAATCTCAGAAAGCTCTTTAAAGCCATTTTCTTTCAATTATCGCCTGTGCGGGGTGCTGTGCTGAGGGGTGTGTGTGTGTGTGCTGAGTGTGTGTGTGTGTGCTGAGTGTGTGTGTGTGTGCTGAGTGTGTGTGTGTGTGCTGAGTGTGTGTGTGTGTGCTGAGTGTGTGTGTGTGTGCTGAGTGTGTGTGTGTGTGCTGAGTGTGTGTGTGTGTGCTGAGTGTGTGTGTGTGTGCTGAGTGTGCGTGCTGAGCGTGTGTGCGTGCTGAGCGTGTGTGCGTGCTGAGCGTGCGTGCTGAGCGTGCGCGTGCGTGCGTGTGTGTGCGCTGAGCGTGTGTGTGTGTGCGCTGAGCGTGCGTGAGTGTGGTGAGCGTGTGTGTGTGTCTGTGTGTGTGTGTGTGGGGGGGGGTTTGTGGGGTGTGTGTTGTGTCTCCGGGGAACCTCCCTCTCCTGGAAATCCCAGACTGCCCGGACACCTTCCTTCTTCCTCAGCTTTCCTCTCAGCACCTCCTCAGCTGGCTGTCGAGGGGATGATTTTTAGGCTGTTTAACAGACCGAAAAGGGCTTAGTGAGATTGCACGAGTATTTGGTACCTGGAACACAGGAGGTCCAGACTTCTAAGGGTTGGGATGCTTGTTGGAATTGCAGCTGATTGTTTGCAGCTGCATTCTGTGTGTTCTCCAAACCCCCTCCTGCAAACTGAAAAGGAATGGTGTGTGGTGTGTTTTCCCAGGGGCCAAAAGGTCACAGTCCCTGGACTGGTGTCTCACAGTTCCTACAAACATCTCAGAAGATCATCCAGTTTGCGTCGGGGAAGGAACCACAGCCAGGAGACACTATCATCTACGTGGCTGGAGCCTTTGACCTATTCCGTATCCTTGACTCAGTCTTTTTGTTGGATGTTTTCACCCTGTGAGGCACCAGACCAGGATATTTGTTGCCTCCTTTTTTTTTTTTTTTTTTTTTTTTTTTTCCCCCCCTGTCAATGTCCATGTGAGGGGAGGAGGCAGGAGTTTGTTCTGCCAGGTTCTTAGCCACAGGACACCGAGAAAGGAGCTACAGCTCCTCTCTAGAGAGATATGTGGCCACTGTAGGATTTCAGGGAAGCACCCTGGATACCCTCCACACTCTAGTGATCACACTCTGGTCCCTCTGGAGGATGGGCTGTCACAGACCAAGGGACTGCACAGGGCATCTGCAGCAGACACTGCATCCTTGGGACAGTCTGTGAGGCTTTGTGCCAGAGCACCCAAACCAGGAGATTCTGGGCAGAGGGAAAGTTGAGTGCATGTGGGGTGGAGCTGCAAATATGTCTGGCTTTTTCCCAGAACCTGTGGAGCATGAGGAAGGAGGCAGCTGTGCTTAGGGCACAGACAACAAGTACTGCAGAAATAAAATCCTTGGAATTCCTGTCTCCCAGTTTGGTTTTTCAGGGTATCTGTTTTTGTCTTGCTTTCCCTCTTTTCCATGTGAGCTTCAGTTCCTTAAACAGGTCTACAGATGTTGGGCATGTGGATTTCCTGGAGAAGGTTCACCAGCTGGCAAAGAAACCCTACATCATCGCTGGGCTGCACTTTGATCAGGTCTGTGTGTGGGGTTGTCCACAGCAGCTTGTCCCCTCTCCTCTCTGGAGGAGTAGGCTGTGGTCTGGGGATGGACTGGCTGATCCAGGACTTCTGTGTTGGGAGGAAGTGAGCAGGGAAAGGGGGTTGCTTAGTGTCTCTTCTAACTGTGCCTGGTGCTTTGCCTTAGGAAGTAAATCGCTACAAAGGGAAGAACTATCCCATCATGAACATCCATGAGAGAACACTCAGTGTCTTGGCCTGCAGGGTAAGTGTGGGTCAAGTTGGTGCCTCTGCCTGTCTCAGAAGTTTCCTGGAGCTGGCTGGGGTTCACCTGCAGCCAGCAATCTGGCATGAGATCCTTGGTGTCTCTGAAAGGCAGAGACAAGGCCAAAGACTTCATGGTGCTGGGGTGCTCTTGGGAGGAGGTTCCAGGCTGCTCTGGTGTCCTAGCTTCCTGAGC